ACTTATCTTAAAAATGCCGAAACTTATCCAAAAATGTCGAAACTTGTCTTGAAAATGTAGAAACTCATCTAGAAATGTCTAAACTTATCTAGAAATGTTGCAAATAGTCTGAAAATGTCGATACTTATCTAGAAATGTTGCAAGTAGTCTAAATATGTCGAAACTTATCTAGAAATAATGCAACTCGTTTAAAAATGTCGAAACTCGTCTAGAAATGTCGAAACAAGTCTTAAAAATGTCGAAACTTGTCTTAAAATGTCAAAACTTGTCTTGAAAATGTCAAAACTTGTCTTGAAAATGTCAAAACTTGTCTTGAAAATGTCAAAATGTCCAATATGTCGAAACTTGTCTTAAAAATGTCGAAACTTATCTAGAAATAATGCAAGTCGTCTAAATATGCCAAAACTTGTCTTATGCCAAAAATCGTCTTAAAAATGAGAAACATGTTTTAAAAATTTAGAAACTTGTTTTAAAAATTTAGAAACTTGTCTTGTGTAAAAATGTCGCAACATGTCTAGAAATTTAGTGAAACGTCTCAAATTGTCTTTAGAAGTTTTAAATATCCTGAAGCTGTCCGAAAATGTTGTAAACTGCCTAAAAATGTTGAAACTCGTCTGAAAATGTCGAAACTTATCTGGAAATATTACAGAAAATCTAAAAATGTCGAAACTTATCTAGAAATGTTGCAAGTCGTCTAAAAATGTCGAAACTTATATAGAAATGTTGCAAGTCGTCTAAAAATGTCGAAACTTATCTAGAAATGTTGCAATTCGTCTAAAAATATTAAAACTCGTTTAAAAATATCAAAACTCGTCTAGAAATATCGAAACAAGTCTAGAAATGTGGAAATGTGGCAACTCGTCTAGAAATGTCGAAACTCGTTTAGAAATGTCAAAACTAGTGTAGAAATGCCGAAACTAGTCTAGAAATGCAACCTGTCAAAAACTGTAACGTTTCATAGAATAATGTAGTAACTCGTTCAAAAATGTCACACTTGTTTAAAAATATAATAAATTACATTACAATAATTACCTTACTATAATAACATAATAACATAAGATACCTTAATAGAATAGTAAATTGTAAATGAAATGTCGTCCAAAAACGTCTCGTCAGTTGTTTTAGAAATGTCGCAACCCGTCTAGGAATATTGCGACTCGTCTAGAAATGTCGTAAAATCCATATGTTGCACATCATCCAAAATCATTTTGGATGCTAACTATAATACTTATATTGTTCAATGAATTCAGTAATGTTTATAATTAATCTTAAGATACTTTAAGACAAATAACGAGTTAGTTGGTCGGAGCACTTGAAACGTCTGAAGCAGTCCGAAAATGTTGCAACACGTCAAAAAACGTGTCAACAGGCATTGAAACGTATCAACACGCCTAAAAGCGTGTCAAAAAGTACATAAAAACGTGTCAACACGTACATAAAAACGTGTTAACACGTACATAAAAACGTGTCAACACGCCTAAAAATGTGTCGATGAGTCTAAAAGCGTGTCAACACTCCTAAAAACGTGTCAACACGTCTAAAAACGTGTCAGCACGTACATAATAACGTGTAAACGCGTCTAAAAGCGTGGCAAATTGTCGGTAAATGCTGCAAACAGTTCCAAAATATTTTAAATATTAATTATATTAATTATATTTACTATATTACTAAATAAATTCATTAGAGGGTACATTTAACCTAAAAAAAAACAAGAAAAATAGTGTTAAATGTAAAAAATGGGTGATATCAAAATTTTGAAAAGTTTCGTTCCAAATTGGAATTTAAGGCACTTAATTATATTCTCTCTAGGTTTCTGTTATATTCATTTAAAAATAAATATTTTAATAATTAAAAAAGATTAATAGTCAATAGGGTTGCAATAAGGTCTTAAATAACCGAAAATTGGCCCAGTTATAAACTAAGCATACCTATACCTAGATTAACTTAAGTAAAATTAAAATTAATATATTACTTAAATTTAATCTAAAGTTGATAATACGTATAAGAAATTTTGAAAAAAATAAGATTAAGATTATATAGTATATATAGTATTATTTATTCTAAACATTTTATTATTGAGGGCAGTACGAGTTTCATTTAGGAAGTTTTGTTGCAAAAGATTGTCAACAAATTAATTATAAACCAGTTATAACTATAATACTTATATTGCTCAATAAATTCACTAATGTATAGAATTAATCTAAAGATACTTTAAGACAAATAACGAGTTAGTTAGTCGGAGCACTTTGGAATGTCTGAAGCTGTCCGAAAATGTTGCAACACGTCTAAAAACGTATCAACACGCCTTGAAACCTATCAACCCGTCTATAAGAATGTTGCAACACGTCTAGAAGCATGTTGCAACACGTGCAAAACCATGTAAACACGTCTAAAAACGTGTCAACACAGCTAAAGACGTGTCAACACGTCTATAAAACGCGTAAACACCCCTAAAAAACGTGTCAACACGTCTAAAAACGTGTCAAAACGCATTAAACGTATCAACACGCCTAAACACGTGTAAACACACGTCTAAAAGCGTGGCAAATCGTCGGCAAATGATGCAAACAGTCCCAAAATATTTTAAATACTAATTATATTAATTATTAACTATATTACTAAATAAATTCATTAGAGGGTACATTTAACCTAAAGAAATCCCAAGAAAAAATAGTGGTAGCCCCTTAAAGAATTTAAATGTAAAAAAAATGGGTGATATCAAAATTTTGAAAAGTTTCGTTCCAAATTGGAATTTAAGGCACTTAATTATATTCTCTCTAAGTTTCCGTGATAATAAATTGTAATATATATTTATAATATTAATATTTTAATAATTAAAGAAGATTAATAGTCAATCGGGTTGCAATAAAGTCTTAAATAACTATAAAGCATACCTATACCTAGATTAACTTAAGTAAAATTAAAATTAATATATTAATTAAATTGAATCTAAAGTTCGTAATAAAGTATGATAAGAAATTTTGAAAAAATTAAGATTAAGATTATATAGTATATATAGTATTATTTATTCTAAATATTTTATTAGTAGGGGCATTATGAGTTTCATTAGGGCATTTTTGTTGTTGCGAAAGATTGTCAACAAATTAATTATAAACTAGTTATAAAAATCTGTAAAAAGCTAATTTATAAGAATCTACTCTATAGGAACCTAATCTATAAGAACATAATTTACGATAATCTACTCTATAGGAACCTAATATATAAAAACCTAATTTTTAAGAATCTAATCTAGAAGAACAATTAAGGAAATGTTGAAAAGTCGCATGAAAATCTTGCAAAGTCGAAAGAAAATGTGGCAAAGTCGAAAGACAATATTGCAAAGTGGAATGAAAATGTAGCAGAATCGGAGAAAAATGTTGCAAAATAAATCTGAATGTTTTAGAATCGAAGGCAAATGTTGCAAGGTCAAATGAAAAGTTTAAAGTCGAACGAAAATGTTGCAAGGTCAAATGAAAATGTTGTAAAATGAAATGAAAACGTTGTAACTTGCCTGAGAATTCTCTAAATCTTCTGAAAATGTTTGGTTTAACTAGGCTGAAAATGTTTGGTTTAACTAAGCTGAAAATGTTTCAACTCCTCTCAAATAATGTGGCAGAATCAAATAAAAATGTTGCAAAATCAAATGTTTTAAAATGTCTGCAAATGTTCTAACCCGTCTCAAAACGTTGTAACCTGTCTGAAAACATTGTAGATAGTTTGAAAACGTTGCAAGTTAATATAGTTATATTTTATTTTTAATCAGTCTGAAAATATTGCAACCTGTCTGAAAATGTTCTAACTTGTCTGAAAACGTTCTAACTTGTCTGAAAATGTTCTATATTAGCTGAAAAAGTTGTAAACAGTCTGAAAACGTTGTGAACAGTCTGAAAAAGTTGTAAACAATTTGAAAACGATGAGAATTGTTTAAAAATATAGTAAACTGTGTGAAAATGTTATAACTTGTCTGAAAACGTTGTAAACAGTCTGAAAATCTTCCATATTGGCTGAAAAAGTTGTAAACTGTCTGAAAACGTTGGGAATTGTTTAAAAATATTGTAACCTGTCTGAAAATATTCTAGCTTGTCTGAAAATGTTCTAACTTGTCTGAAAACGTTGTAAACAGTCTGAAAACGTTAGGGATTTTTTAAAAATATTGAAACCTGTCTGAAAATATTCTAGCTTGTCTGAAAATGTTCTAACTTGTCTGAAAAAGTTGTAAACAGTCTGAAAATCTTCCATATTGACTGAAAAAGTTGTAAACTGTCTGAAAACGTTGGGAATTGTTTAAAAATATTGTAACCTGTCTGAAAATGTTTTAAACTGTCTGAAAATATTCTAACTTGTCTGAAAACGTTGTAAACAATCTGAAAATGTTCCATATTGGCTGAATAAGTTGTAAACAGTCTGAAAACGTTGGGAATTGTTTAAAAATATTGTAACCTATCTAAACATGTTCCAGATTTCTCTAAAAATGTTGTAACCCGTCTGAAAACGTTGGGAATTGTTGAAAAATGTTTTAAACTGTCCGAAAACGTTATAAACTGCCTAAAAAATGTATATTGTCCAAAAACAACTGCCGAAAATGTTCCAGATTGTCTGAAAGCTTTATAACTGTCTGAAAAAATTGTATATTGTTCAAAAACGTTACATTTGGTTTGAAAATCATGTGTTTTCTTTGATAATTCCGTAAGTTGTCTGAAAATGTTGTATTTGGTTCGAAAATGTTCCAGATTGTCTAAGAATGTAATAACTTGCCTGAAAATTACAAAGTTTCAGTAACTTTAGGCTTATCGTTTAGAACAACAAACTATAAAAATTCTATTAAACCATGCAAAATGAATATTAAATATCGATTTATGAGCATAAGGGGCTGCTCTAGAGCATTTTAATGATAAATAAGAAAAAACTATATATTCATAAATCGTGCAAAACAAATGCAATATTATTAGAACTTTTACTTTATTAGAACTTTTTATTATCAGAAAATATATTTCACCAAATCATTTTTTCTTTATTTCGATATCGAATCGAACTTCAGGAGCGTGTCCAAACAAACGAATAGTATTTATCGGAATTACAAAACAGTCATCGAGGGCATGAAAAGAATGAACTATAGTGTGATCATCATGAGTGGTTCTAGAGTATTCGAAAACTCTGTTAACATTAGCAATTTCGCTACTGGCTCTAATGGTGTAAATAAATTCGCTGGCACGTCTCTTTGGGCCCAAAAAGTGCACCGTGCCATAAATCCTATCACGGTTTCTGTTAACAGCGAAATTCAAATGGAAAATCTCTTTGTGAGCACAGATTATCCAATCGTTAGATCTACGCTCGTCAGCATATTTATACATGACATAAAATTTGTGACTTTTTAGTATTAAATCGCTATGCGATGCAGAAGAGTGCGGGAAGATGTCCGCGTACTTTCCAGTCCAGGAGCAACTTCCAGCCTGCAAGACACATTTGTATAATCTGTGCACACAATTGGCCTCGTGATCGGCCTTGTATTTATATCTAAAATTTTCCCTACATCCCGACTGGTCGTTGGTACAAGGAAACATCAACTTATTGGCAACTTTTTCCATGGCCAAATTGCGTTTGGCAGCGAAACTGCTGCGGCAAGTTGGGCAGGTCATGAGACGCCCTTTGCAAGAAGCGCAAATCAAATGACCCATTTTGCATTGGTTTATCGGCGGGGTTATGTACTCCCAGCAAACTGGGCAAAGTAGGATGTTTAATAAACTGTGGTTTAACCTGGATGAGCTCAATCTGCTGCTGTTTTGCTCGTGCTGGCGGTAATGGCCGGATCTGATTGGCCCGGGGCTGCTGCTGCCGGAAGCTGGCGGCTGCTGCACGACTTCGATGTCGGCTGCTTCTTCTACTTCTGGAGGCCGATCAACAACCTCTGGTTCCTCCGACAAACCTAAAGGAAAAGATAGTTTGAACAGGCCACACCTAGTGTTAGAACAAAATATCGAGTACTGAGTAAATATCGATACTTTGCGGTCGATAGTGAGTACTAGGGTTTGTCGGTTTTCAAAAACCGGTTTTAAAAACCGGTTTTTTGACGAAATTTATGAAATTCGAAAAGCGGTTTTTTATTAAAAAAAAAGTCGGTTTTTACTGTATAAATGGAAAATGACAAATATAGCCTAATATAAAATGCGATGCAGCGTTTTGATTCTTGGAATCATATCGGTTCAAAAGCGTTTGGAATCTTATCAGTCTGCTATGGTTCCCAGAAAGGTTTTGTGTTATCTTTTGGCTAATGTATATATTAATTCTAATGTTTATACGAGTGTTTGTATTAATTCAGATCGAAGGACTTCTTGTTTCTTTATGTGCAGTTTATAAGTTCAGCATTCAGTGTTCAGTGCCATTGATCGATATTTGATACAGATATAATACAAAATGTTAGTAGATAACATATTTTATTATTATAAAAAATATATTATTATTTAAACTATTTATATTTTTGTAGTCCAAAATGTCAGACGTGTGGAATTATTTCAAAAAAGTAGACAAAGAAAAAGCGCGTTGTATTTATTGCCATAAAATGCTTTCTTGCAAAGGATCAAGCACAAGCAATTTACATAATCATTTGAAAACAGTACACGATAAAAAAACGAAAAAAATTGTCGGATGCCCGCTCGACTTTACAAACATGTACACAACCACGTATTTTTAATTTTGTGAAAAAAACTAGTTTAGAAGAAATAGTGTCAAAGCTCGCTGTATTAGATGGACCATCAATTAATTGCATAACAAATAGCTCGTTTATAAGAGAGTCATTACAAAAACCGAATTATTGCTTACCACAGAATAATTCTAGGGTTTTGAAACTTATTAACAACTTTTACGAATCTATAAAACATGAAACTGTAAATGAATTAAACTATATGAAAAATAAAGGACAAAATTTTTCTATAACTATAGATGAATAGACTAGTAAAGGAAATCGAAGATAATTAAATATTTTTGAAATCACATTTTATCAAACAAAAAAATAATTAGGATTTTTAAAATTTGTTTATTTTTTATTATTATATTATTTAGTTTTTGAAACTAAAATTGATATTATCAAGGATATTATCAATGATAATATCTAATATTTTTTTTAATTTAATAAATGTTTTTTGTTTTATTTTAAATTGTTTCATTTATTCGAAAACTTTCCTTTCACTATCATAGAAATATTTACATTCTTATATGTTAAAATAATGCATGAATAACGAATAATTATTTTCAAAATTATTTAATCCATATAAACTATTATTTTTTTATCTACTAATTAAAATTAAAATAATTTTGTTTACTATCCATAAAAATTAACAATAAATAATTTCAATCAAATACTGCTTAAAATCGCACTAAATTTGTGGATAAATTTTTGTTATTAACAGAATATTCCAGCAAAAATTTATTTTCTATATAAAATTCGGTTTTAACCGGTTTTCTGGCAAAATTAAAATTCGAAAACCGGTTTTCTGAAATGTCGGTTTTTGTATAAACCCTAGTGAGTACTTTTGGTATCGATTTTTTAGCTCGATCTATTTGCCTTTTCGTCGATAGTACTCAAAAAGAATCGACAGCGTAGTCTATGAACACCACTCATCGACCAACTATTGACACCACTCATTGCCAAATGCAAAGCAATAGTCCCTCTAGGTGGTCATAATTATTCAAAGAAGTGTCAAAAAATGATCCCGAAGGGTCATTAGTCTCAGAATTTATTGCTCAAAAACCCAAAATGAATATGACCACACTAATAAATAAAGATGTTTATTTATTACTCTTATGTAAAATGAAATGGCTTTTTAAAGTACCTTAAATGTTTTATAAAAACATATTCAATAATCGAAGTATGATTATTTCAAATAATCATGCTCACCAATTCCAATATATTAATATTTTACGCAAAAAAGAATCGCAATATAATTATTTCAAATAATAATATTCATCAATTTCAATATATTAGTATTTTGCGTTTATTATATTTCGATTCTTTTGTACGCAAAATATTAATATATTGAAATGGATGAGTATTATTATTCGAAATAATATATTTCGATTCTTTTTTACGCAAAATATTAATATATTGAAATGGTTGAGTGCTATTATTTGAAATAATTATATTTCGTTTCTTTTTTACACAAAATACTAATATATTAAATTGGATGAGAATTATTATTTGAAATAATAATATTTTGATTCTTTTTTTACGCAAAATACTCATCTATTGAAATTTTTGAATATCAACATGCAAACATATGGGTTTGAGTTTCTCGGAATCATTTATACTTTAAATACCATCGCTCCGAAGGGATGTTTCTCTACAAGTGTCTTGACCGTCATTAAACTGAATGTTTATTGCTTTCCAAAGAGCTTCATATTGCATGCTCGCTAAAATTATTTATATAAAAATATTCAACAATTATAAAATATTATTTTACTTAAAAATAATAAAAATATTATTGTACTTAAAAATACTTAAAAAGTATTGCTTTTTGAATATAGTATCAGACTATTATATTGTTTTAATCAAAAATACTCAACTATTATAACTAGTCTTTTTCTTGAAAAATTATAGAATTTGAAATTAGTATTGAAAAATTACTGTTAAAATTTTACAATGTTGAAAATGATTCTGATTTAACACATCAGATACAAGCAATACAATTCATTCTAATATTGTGATATGATATTTAATGAGTTTTAGATCTTTCTTGCACTTATGTTTGATTTTTATGAAAAGTACTCAAGATTCGATATTGAGTACTATCGATACTTTCGCCACGATATTTTTTTGGCATCGATATTTTGATTAGATACTTTTTAAAGTACTCAATATCGATCTTTTGCCTCGATACTTCTAACACTAGCCACACCAAGTTATAACTTCACGCAGGTCATGTTATAGTAATAGCATAAAAATCTAAAATAAATTTTTTAAAGTAGATCTTCTTTAGGCGCAGCTAGGGTGTAAATCCGTACAAATGTAACGGAAGTGAGTTACGGCAAGGTCGAGTGACCAATGATTCGTCATTCGCTCTCGACGATATCTCTATACTTGGTGTGCGTGACTTTATACGTGTGCACGTCACCGAAATCGTGAAGCATATTGTTCATTTTCAATATAAATATCACCACGAATCACCAAGGGGGGGAGTCCAAAAATCCATGAAAAATCGATCACGTGACTAATGGACGCTTCCTTAGATCTACGGTTGGTTGAACTTATACTACATAAATAAAGATAAATTATTACCAAGAGTCCCATCGCTGCGAATAATGATTTCCTCCTCCTGAGAATCATTTTCAGCACTGATGTTCGGCGACACACTCGTTGGAGGCTCTGCAAAAAAACATCATGATTAGACTGATGATAAACTCAAGTATGGATTTATTTATTTATTTATTCATAAGCAAATCGTAATCCATAATAATAGATATTATTTCAAGCTCTTGTCAAGCTTATTCGCAGTTAATATTAAAAGGATAGTAATTTTATAATAATCATAGTAGATGCACGAATTTCGCTTCTGAAAAAAAGAGCTGAAAAAAAGCATTCGAACATTAAAAACAATGTTCATCATATTAAAGTCTATTTGACACGAGTTAAGCTCAAAATTCTTGCACAAGGTTGAAACTTATACTCATTAAAACCGTAAAAAATTTAAATTAATAAAATAGCAATAAAAAAAACATGGTTGTACAGGCGATCAAATGCTCAGACCACATAGATAAAGTATGAGGATTATGCAAGAAAATAGTTTATGAAATCAAATTGAGAAAATTCAGTAATGTTATAAAAAGCAAATTCTTTAAAAAAAGTTTAACTAGGAAAGCATGGATTTTTTTGCTGTCTAAGTTTAGGATATTGAGTGGAAGTTTATTTATAAGCTGAATTTATAAGCTATTGAAAGAGCTGGCTAATTTATATGTGCACGCCTTAATAAGTTTGTATCTAGGGAATGCAATACCGGTATACCGAATTACCGGAAAACCGTCCGATTTTTCGGCGGTATTTTTACCGGTATTTATTCCAAAAATATCGGTATTTTCAGGATTTTTACATAAACGCTATTTGATACACAATACACTAAAGTCTAAATTTCTCGGAACAACTTTATCTTTAAATTCCATAATCGCATAAACAGCTCTATCTTCAAGTGATTCTATAAGATAAACAAATGTCAAATATTATCTCAACTCGTCATTAAACTGAATATTTATTGCTTTGCTAAGGACTTCATATCGTGTTACAATAAATAGAATTGGACTGATGGATAATGATGTTTGTTTCATTTTTTGTAATACCGATGTAAAATTTCAATACGGGTATTTCGGTAATTTTTTATTTTAAAACCGGAATACCGGTAAATTACCGGTATTTTTATTATCTTAAACAAACGTAAACAAAATTGAAAGTTACTAGTACAAATATAAAAAAATGTATACACAACTACAACTATATTCAACTAAACAACAAAATAAAACAATAAGTTTATGTTTTTAAATAATAATTTAACAAAATTATATCCAATTTAATTAATTCATTGTCACTATCGAGTATATTAGGTACTTTTCATCAAAAACAAACTTATGAGTAAGAAAGATCAAAAACTCATAAAAGATCATATTGCATTATTATAATAAACTTTATTGTCTGTATCCGATGTGTTAAATTAGCATATTCTCCAATATTTTAATAAAATATTTTTTACACAAATTTAAGATCGAATACTTTGTCGATATAAATAATAAGCTACTGTAATTGTTGTCTTCTATAGTATTTTTAAACTTCGAAACGTTTTCGAAAAATAATATTTTATAATTGTAATAAGAAGCAAAAATATTTAGTAATTATCATGATTATTATTTATAAAGTTAGAAAAAAAATAAAGATTACGCAGGGGTAATCTGTATGATATAAAATATTTTGACGAAAATATCACTTAACATTTTTGCATAAGATGAAACAAACATCATTATCTATCAGTCCAATTCTATTTATTGTAACACGATATGAAGCCCTTTGGAAAGCAATAAATATTCAGTTTAATGACGAGTTGAGATAATATTTGACATTTGTTTATCTTATAGAATCACTTGAAGATATAGCTGTTTATGCGATTATGGAATTTAAAGATACATTTGTTCCGAAAAATTTAAACTTTAATGTATTATGTATCAAATAGCGCTAATGTAAAAACACCAAAAATACCGTCGAAAAATCGGACGGTTTACCGGTAATTCGGTATACCGGTATACCGGTATTGCATTCCCTAGTTCGGATGAAAAACCCCAGAATTGGATGCCGATTAAAATTTATTCACCTGGAGTCGGCGGCAATCGAACTCTATTCCCGACCATGTGGTTATACAAATTTCTCCTCCGTCTCAATCTTCTAACACGTCCTGGCGAAGCTGCTCTACTCTCAGGTCTCGACGACCTCTCTGAAAATTGATAAAAATAAAATATTTAAAACTCAATAGTTTATCTTGTATCGATTTACCTGGTGCCGATGACGAACCTTCGCGAGTAAGTGATGTATAGGCCACAATATCAGTCGAAATTCTGTCCGGAAAATCGCCGATACTTAGCACGGTGTCGATGAAGATATCGTCGCCGGCGGTTCGAAAATTCGCGTTGATTTCCTCCAAAGCACTTTGGCTCATGATGGCTGTTGGTACATCTACGTAATCGTGATGGAGCAAAAACCCGATGGAATCATCGTGGTCTTCAGGCGAATCCGTCATATCATTTACTGAGCGTGCTAATTCGCGGGCTCGTCTACGGAGCATGTACAATCGCCCCTCTCTTCTCGAAGCTAGCTCTGTTGAGAGAAAACAGAGTTTGAAACAGAACATTTTAAAACAAATTAGAACGTTTATAGTCTATAGTCTTAGACGATTCAGAACATTTAAGCACCAGCCTAGACATTTAGAAATATGCCTAAACATTTAGAAATATGCCTAGGCATCTAGACAGATGCCGAGACTTTTTACCCCTCTTTTAGAAATTTATAAATCAATCCAATCTCCACAGGTAACGAACTACTACCCGTGGAAACCCAGGCTAAACAATTTAAAACGTTTAGAGACTAACTTAAAACCATTTACAACGTTTAGAAATCAGTCTAGATATTTAGAAACATGGCCTAACTTAAAAAAAACTACCTATACAATATCTGAACTCCTCCAGATAATCCAGGAAACTGTCCAGACTATCCAGAAACGAGTCCATACAATGTAGAAACCTATCCAGACAATCTAGAAACTTGACCAGACATTTACACCGAAATGTTTCAAGACAGTTTCAGACTGTTTTGTCTAAGTTTTGGGTTGTCTCGTCTAAGTTTTTGACTTAGACGAGACTTAGACTGTCTTCTATCGAAGTTTTTGACTGTCTTCTATCTAAGTTTTGGACTTACTGCCTAAGTTTCTACATATTTAAAATAATCAATAACATTTTCAGACCGTCTAAAACTTATTCGGACAGTCCAAAGCTTAGACAAACGTTCCAAAAATAAGAAAGTCAGACATACACAATCTCAAACTCATTCGAACAAGCTAGAATCCATTCAAACAGTCTAAAAGATATTTAGTCAGTCTAAAATCCATTCAGTCAGTCTAAAATCCATTCATAAAAGCCAAGGAAAGACATTCAGACAGTCAAAAGTTATTCAGGCAGCCTGAAAACGTTCAGACTGGCTAAAAACGTCTCAGACTAACTAAAAATATCTCAGACTGACTAAAAACGTCTCACACTGACTAAAAACATCTCAGACTGCCTGAAAACGTCTAAGACAGCTGGAAAACGTCTGAGACAGCCTGAAAAGTCTCAGACTGCCTTGAAACTTTTTCAAACAGCCTTGAAAATTTTTCAAACCATATGAAAAATGTATCAGATTGTCTAAAAACATGTCAAACAGTACAAAAACAGTTACAAAATGTCCGAAACGGTTACAAAATGTCCAAAACGATTACAAAATGTCCAAAACGGTTACAAAATGTCCAAAACGGTTACAAAATGTCCAAAACGGTTACAAAATGTCCAAAACGGTTACAAAATGTCCAAAACGGTTACAAAATGTCCAAAACGGTTACAAAATGTCCGAAAATGTATCAAAATGTCCGAAATTGTTTCAAAATATCCGAAACCTGTTGCAAAATGTCCGAAACTAATTCAAAATGTCCGAAAAGGCATTTCAAAATGTCTGAAAATAATTCAAACTGTTTTTTTTTCAAGTCAAATCGTTACAAAATGCCAGAAAACGTTTCAAACTCTTTTGAAAACAAAACAAAATGTCCGAAACTGTTTCAAAATGTCCGAGAAACTTATTCAAAATCTCTGAAACTAATTCAAAATATCCGAAAAGGCGTTTCAAAATGTCCGAAAATAATTCAAACTGTTTTTTGAGTCAAAATGTCCGAAATCGTTACAAAATGTCCGAAATCGTTACAAAATGTCCGAAAGCGTTTCAAAACGTCTGATAATGTTTCAAAGTCTTTTAAATACGAATCAAAAGGTCCGAAAGTGTTTCAAAAATGTCCGCAACAGTTTCAAAGTGTCCGAAACAGTTTCAAAGTGTCCAAAACAGTTTCAAAGTGTCCAAAACAGTTTCAAAGTGTCCAAAACAGTTTCAAAATGTCCGAAACTGTTTCAAAATCTCCGAAACTGTTTCAGAATATCCAAAAAGGCGTTTCAAAATGTCCGAGAGTGATTTTCAAAATGTCCGAAATTAATTCAAAATGTCCGAAGAGGCATTTCAAGATGTCCGAAAATGTAACAAAGTCTTTTGAAAACATTTCAAAATGTCCAAAAATGTTTTGAAATGTACGAAACTATTTCAAAATATCGGAAAGTGTTTCAAAATGTCCGAAGGCGTTTCGAACAGTCCGAAAATGTTTCCAACTCTTTTGAAAGCGTTTCAAAATGTCTGAAACTACTTCAAAATGTCGGAAACTGCTTCAAAATGTCGGAAACCCTTTCAAAATGTCTGAGAAACTTATTCAAAATGTCCGAAACTAATTCAAAATGTCCGAAAAAGCGTTTGAAAATGTACAAAACTATTTCAAAGTGTCGGAAAATAATTCAAAGTGTCGGAAAATAATTCAAAATGTCCGAAATTAATTCAAAATGTCCGAAATTAATTCAAAATGTCCGAAATTAATTCAAAATGTCCGAAATTAATTCAAAACGTCCGAAATTAATTCAAAACGTCCGAAATTAATTCAAAGTATCCGAAAGCAATTCAAAATTTCCGAAAGCAATTCAAAATGTCCGAAAGCAAATCAAAATATGCGAAAGCAATTCAAGATGTCCGAATGTAATTCAAGATGTCCAAAAATAATTCAAACATTTGAGTCATTATGTCTGAAAGCGTTACAAAATGACCGAAAATGTTTCAAAATGTACGAAAATATCCAAAGATGTTTTAAAGCGTCTATAAGCGTTAAAGCGTAAATATTTCAAAATATAAGAATATTTTCGACTGTTTAAAGCAACTTCAGACAATAAGAATTACTCCATGTCAGTCTTAAAAGAAATGTCAGTCAAATTAAAAAGAAATGAATAAAATAAAATAGGAAAGACACAAGCGCGAAATGACTTCTAAAATCAAAATGTCCGAAGATGTTTCAAAATGTCCGAAAACAGTTTCAAAATGTCGGAAAGCGTTTCAAAATGTCGGAAACCGTTTCGAACAGTCCGAAAATGTTTCCAGCTCTTTTGAAAATGTTTCAAAATGTTCGAAACTAATGCAAAATGGCCGAAAAGGCGTTTCAAAATGTCCGAAGATAATTCAAACTGTTTTTTTTTTTTTTGAGTCAAAATGTCCAAAACTAATACAAAATGTCCGAAACTAATTCAAAATGTCCGAAACTAATTTAAAATGTCCGAAAAGGCGTTTCAAAATGCCCGAAAATGTATCAAAGTCTTTTGAAAACATTTCAAAATGTCCGAAAGTGTTTCTAACAGTCTGAAATTATTTCCAACTCTTTTGAAAGCGTTTCAAAATGTCGGAACGTGTTTCAAAATGTCGGAAAGTGTTTCAAAATGTCCGAAACTTATTCAAAACGTCATAAATTATTTCAAAATGTCTGAAACTTATTCAAAATGTCCGAAACTTATTCAAAATGTCCGAAACTTATTCAAAATGTCCGACACTAATTCAGAATGCCCGAAACTAATACAAAATGTCCGAAACTAATTCAAAATGTCCGAAGGCGTTTCGAACAGTCCGAAAATGTTTCCAACTCTTTTGAAAACCTTTCCAAAATTCTGAAAGTATTTCCAACAGTCTGAAATTGTTTCCAACTCTTTTGAAAGCGTTTCAAAACGCCGGAACGTGTTTCAAAATGTCCGAAATTGTTACAAAATGTCCGACACCAATTCAAAATGTCCAAAACTAATACAAAAGGTCCGAAACTAATTTAAAATGTCCGAAACTAATTTAAAATGTCCGAAAAGGCGTTTCAAAATGCCCGAAAATGTATTTCAAACAGTCTGAAATTATTTCCAACTCTTTTGAAAGCGTTTCAAAATGTCGGAACGTGTTTCAAAATGTCGGAAAGTGTTTCAAAATGTCGGAAACTAATTCAAAATGTCCGAAATTGTTATAAAGTGCCCGAAAAAGCGTTTCAAAATGTCCGAAATTGATTTAAAATGTCCGAAAAGGTATTTCAAATTCTCTGAACATATTGTAGACTATCTGAAAATGTTTTCGACAGTTTAAAACATTTTCAGAAAATCTAAAAAACAATTTCAGACAATAAGAATTTATTTACGCCATAAATTAGAAAAAAATTAATAAAATAAAATAGGAAAGATACAAACCCAAAACGACTTCTAAAGTGTAACGACACACATTAAAATTAGTAAAAATTAATAAAGCAAAATTAAAAATAAAACGTAAAAACGATGAAAAAGAAATGTAACACTATTCTTAACAAAGTATTAATTTAATTCACAACCAAAAAAATATAAAAGTAGAAAAAAAAATTATTCAACTCACTAACCGTATACATACTCCATTTGGACAACCTTCCACTAGAGTAACTGATTCACTAATGCCTCGAAGATATTCTTACAAACTGCCTATAACCATTGAAACCACTACCACCCCTACCACTAATTCTACCTATACTACCATGTTGGAAATAATGGAAAATTTTTGCCAAATTCAAAAACAATCAACAAGCAAATATCTCCATATTGTCTTTATACTAAACATCCTGTTGTCAACCGTATTTTTACAAGTTTTGTGCATGGGATGTTATTTCAACAAATTCCAAAACATCGCCAACTGCACAATGGTCTGATGTCTTAATGAAATAATACAAGCAGATAAAGAAAAGAGTTATCAATTGTAATTCTAGATTTAAAATTAAAAACGATAATTATCGTCTCGTGTTTATGTTTTTTTGTTGTCGGAAACCGATACACGAGATAATGGTGGGACAAACAAATTTCTGCAAAGGATGATTATCAGCTCATGTTTGTTGGTAAAAGTTGATATAAGAAATTCTGGGTGGTATAAACAAATTTTAATTAATTCTTTTATCTATACGTATAAATGAAATTGGAGGTTTTTAAATATAAATAAAGATACATGTATGGAATTGACATTTTTAATTTCCCGTAAGGCAATTTATAGTAATCGCAAAAAAATCGAAAATGAAAATTTTTATATATCTTTACGTTTCAAGACCTTCTGAACATTTTTGCATACCTTAGAAAAATGGATGTATGTATGTGTGTGTGTGCGTGTATGTATGTGTTTGCGGATACAAATTTTCGTCGACGATTTGGGGAACACGGATGAAGCAATTTGCATAATTCAAAACCATTCGATTCGTATTGATAAGGAGATGTGCTGATTAGTTTTTGGTGGAGGCAGGTCTAGCCGTTCCGAAGACACGGTGCAAAAAGTGCCAAAAACGGTAACTCAGTTTTTAAAAGAACGGAGCGTTCGATTTTAATAATTCAAAAACATTTTACTTGTATTGACAAGATGAAGAATTGATAAAATTTTCATGAAAGCAGGTCTAGCGGTTTCGGAGATCTAGTAAAAAAAGTAAAAAAAAATGCCATTTGGCGGTCAAAAATAATCATTAGACATATGCACATCAGAGTATCAGATATTTTATAGAGATTTTAACAATAAGTATAAATTTTGTTGCATTCCTATAGGTTCCGTACCAATGTTTACGCGTTAGACGGCGACGCGGCGGTTACGCGCTTTGATGTTTCGTCTTTATGCAGTTAAAGCAGTACGAGTGCTTTGAAAAAAATTTTTCAAAAATGTTAATCTTTTTAATTTTTTTTTTGTACGGGAAGTTCCAGCAATTTGCCTTAAGGCACGATGCCATGCGCCTCACTAGTTGCAATTTAATTAGTAAATCATCCATATTATATTATAATAGGTCATAACTTTTTCTTTATGGGGACTCTATAGTTAATTTCCAATGAGGATGTTATTAGAAAACCAAAATTACATGTTGGTTGAATTTTATTATTTATATATACATATACATATATATATATATATATATTTTTGTTAAGAATTTTAAGTCATTGGTAATCTTATTTTAACCAATATAATATATATATATATATATATATATGTATATATATATATATTTATATATATATATATATATATATATATATATGTATGTATATTATATTGGTTAAAATAAGATTACCAATGACTTAAAATTCTTAACAAAAAAAATCCTTTAACATACCTAGAATCTTTCCTCGAATAGATTATGATTCAAAAATTCTATTCCTAAAATTGGGGCTCTTTTAAATCCATTCATTACTAGAGTAATGTTCTCTAACTCGATAAGAGTTATAAAAACATCCATGAAACAACTAAGTGCATTTGTTTCAGTCAATTTCATGTTATATTTAATCTAGTGTAAACAACTATACGTAGTCTCTTATATTATGCATTGTTATAATTGTAATTATAAGCCCCAAAAGCAAAAAATGACATCATTTAATAGAGCGATACTCCACAAACTATAACTATTTTATATTATTAATAACATTTTCGGTTAACTTAACTGGTTGTCCTTTAACATATCCAGAATCTCTTCCTAAACTCAAGTATGTTCCAAAAACCCTATAGGTAAGTCTGAGACTCTTTTAAATTTGTATTTTTAAGCCCTAGAAGTAAAAAACCGACTTCTTCGGCAATAAAGGTACTCTACAAACTCAAAATTTCTCATTTATTCTTAAATACTTGAGAATAGTTATATTTAAGCTTTCTAGAATCTCTTCATAAACTCAAATATATCTCAAAAATCAGGTTTTTGAGTCTGGGGCTCTTTTAAATTCATTTACAATACATAATGTCTACCGATACACATAATACATCACAAAAAGAACTAACGACCATCTGTACAAGTTAATTTTATGGATTTTTTGTGTTATATTTAATCTAGTGATAACAATTACTTAGTATCTTGAATAATGCATCATTGTAATTGTATTTTTAAGTCCTAAGAGCAAAAAATGACTTCATCTACTTAAGAGATACTCCACAAACCATAAAAATGCATAATTTATTTGTAAGTTCTTAAACAGTTATCTTTTAATTATTCTATAATCTATTCTAGAGCTCAAATATGTTTCAAAAATCCTATTTTCAAGTCTGGGGCTCTTTTAAATTAACCTACAGTACTAATAAGTCTTCTAAACCAGTCGATAATCACAAAACATCACTGAATCAACTAACTACCATATGTAATACTCAATTTTGTACATTTTTGTGTTAAATTTAACCTAGTGTTAATAATAAGTTACTGTTTTATATAATTCATTGATATAATTGTATTTTTAAGTCTTGAAAGTCAAGAAAATAACTTCTTTGTCTATAGAGGTACTCCGCAAACCATAAAAATGCATAATTTATTCTTAAATACTTAAAAGTTACGCTTTAAGCTTTCTAGAATCTCTTTATAAACTCAAATATGTTTCAAAAATCCTATTCCGAAGTCTGGAGTTCATTTAAATTTATCTAAAAACTTCTTTCACTAAAGAGATACTCCACAAACTATAACTACTTAATTTATTCTTGAAATATAATAGTTAACCTAACTAGTAATCCTTTAACATATCTAGAACCTCTTCACAAACTCTGAAATGTTAAAAATCCTATTTCTAAGTCTGAGGCTCTTTTAAATCCACCAACAGTACAGTAATGTCAACCGATACACATAATACTTCCTTAAACTGACATATGACTATCTGTGAGTTAATTTTATGCCTTTTTGAGTTCTGATATCAACAATTATTCAGTATATCATATTATGGATGTTATACAAGTATTTTTAAGTCCTGGAAGCAAAACAAATAACTACTTCAGCTATAAAGGAACTCGACAAACTATAAAAATACTCTCTTATTCTCAAGTACTTCAAGAGTTTTCTTGTAACCTTTCTATAATCTCTTCATGAACTCAAATATGTTTCAAAAACCCTGTTCTCAAGCCTGGGGCTCTTCTAAATAAACCAATGTCTACCGATACACGTAATACTTCCCTAAAACGACATATGACTATCTGTGAGTTAATTTTATGCCTTTTTGAGTTCCGATATCAACAATTATTCAGTATCTCATATTATGGATTGTTATACAAGTGTTTTTAAGTCCTTCTAAGGCTGTCCTTTGTAAAAACAATTCTCCTACAAACTATCATTTTGTGCAATGCTTCTAAAGATTTCCTACATGACAACTAAAAACCTTTAAAGCACAATATATATATATATATATATATATATATATATTCTATTACCACAAACCTACAACAACAATTCCTTTATTATTACCATTATTACTCAAATTCCTTCAATACTAACATAACCTACAAAAATAACAAAGATACAAAAAAAAACCTACAAAAAGTATATGACAACATTATGAATATGTTTAAATAATATAAAAATGAATATTCCTACCTCCTGGAATCATTTCATTAGTTGACATCTTCAATTAAAAGTCACTATTAAACCATTACTCGATTTTAAATCAGAATATAAATTTGTAACCTTTTACTTTGAAAGTTCACTGTCAACTGCAACGATGAAACTGTAAAGAGAGAAAATTTAGGAACAAAGAAACGTTGCTAACTTCAGAGTGAATTATCAGTGTGAAGTTAGCTGCGCGCGAAATTTGAATTTTGAAAATGAGAATATAAAAAAACACAACAAACTTATGTTGAGTTAAAAAATAAAAACCTAAAAATAACATTGGAAGGTAAAGGTTAATACGATCACCCATTTTTGGCTTGACGTTGAGTTCTGGGACATCCTTATACATTTCTGTTAAATTGATGATTTGGCATGAAGTAGAAGGGTAAAGTTCTTATTTAAAAATAAAATAAAAATGAAATATATCTTTTTTACCTTTGGACTTTCTAGCTAACTATTCCTTCAGGTGTCCTGGTTAGAATAATAAATTATTTTATATCTGTCCTGGTTAAAAAATGCTTTTACTAATGTCCTTAGCCTTAAAAACCAAAATTTATAAATAAAACTAAAATAAAATAGATTTTTTACCTTTGAACTTTCTAGTTAACTTTATTATCCATCCATTATAGAATAATAAATTGTTTCACAGCTGTCCTGGTTAAAAAAAAGCTTCTGCTGATGTCCTGGTATGAAGTCCTTAGCCTTGAAAACCAAAATTTATAAATAAAACTAAAAGAAAATAGATTATTTTACCTTTGGACTTTATAGCTAATTTTATTCTCCATCCATTCTCCAAAAATTCCTTCAGGTGTCCTTGTTAGAATAATAAATTATTTTACATCTGTCCTGGTTCAAAAATGGTAAAAAATTCTTTCACTGATGTCCTGGTTAAAAAATGCATCAATTTATGTCTTGGGGGAAAATTAAAAAAATAATAAGTGCAAGTAAATAAGTAAAATAAATCTATTTTACCTCTTAACTTTCCAGATTTTTTTTGCTTTCTATCAATATTTTTTCATCCTGGTAACTTTTACCACCGATTTGTTTTGAAAATTCGCCCTGGTATTCTAATAAATATTAAAATAAAAAAATAATTCACTAAAGTCCTGGTTGAAAATGCATCAAATGGTGTCCTAGTTAATAATGCATCTATTGATGTTCTAGTTAATATAAAAAATCATTTACTGGTGTCCTGGTTAGTATCAAAATATTCATCTACTGGTGTCCTGGTTAAAAATGAAACAATTGGTGTCCTAGTTAGTATAAAAATATTCATCGTCCTGGTTAAAAAGGTATCGACTGGTATCCTGGTTAAAATAAAATGCACCCTCAGAAATTTCTATCAAAAATATCTCTGGAAAAAAGATAGTTGCACAAGTAGGAAATAAAAATTGTATGAAAGAATGTATCGATTTTAAAGTATACCGAGTTGCTGTAGGTCTATATGATGTTAGAAAATATTAAAGACAATTTAATTTTGCACAAATTTGTCAAATATTACAATTAAATTAGACAAATACTTTAGAAGTTACAAAATATATTATAAATAAACGCATGAATAAACTCTGTATGTCTGGAATTATTATTCACTCTTGTAGATTAGTTTTCTATTTTCAATCGTGATTTATATACCGAGTTGCTGTAGGATATTATGATGTTAGAAAATATTATAAATTATTTAATTTCAAACACATTTGCCAAATATTTCAATTAAATTAGACAAACGATTCAAAAGTTACAAGAGATATTATTAATAAACGCACGAATAAATTCTGTATGTCTGGAATTATTGTTCAACCTTGTAGATTAGTTTTTTATTTTCAATCGTGATTTTTAAGTAAACCGAGTTGCTGTAGGATCTTATGATGTTAGAAAATATTATAAATTATTTAATTTTGAACAAATTTGCTAAATATTTCATTTAAATTAGACAAACCGTTTAAAAGTTACAAGAGATGCAATAAATAAATGTATTAAATTAATTAACGAAACCGGCTGTTACGTGATATCAACATTGGTGTTACGTAATTTTAATGTATTAAAATTCACAAGTAAATAACGAAAACTTGTTTATTTACATATATACACGTCTAAGTCGTTTTAAATGCAATATAGATAATATAAATACATCAGAAACAAATCTTACAATTATTGTTGATGTTATAATAACATGTCTTAATTTAACAATAATTAAAATTACTAAAAACTACTGTTTTGAATATTTTTTTTCGTAAAAATTCGGAATTTTTTGGCACATGTAAAAAATCGATTTAGTTATTAAATATTATTTTTACCTTGCTGAATTGACACACGAAATTTTAGGCCGTAACATATTTTTTTTTAAAAAACGACTTAATTCAAGTTTTAATTTCCATTGGCATTTTTCTTTCTTATTTATCTAGAACGATTTTTTTTTAAGTTTTGCTTATACATTCCTAGATAAGTTCCTAAATCTATTTTTTTTATTTATTTAATTATATAAAACTATTTTACGAACTATTTAGTACGAGGAAAATTATAAAGTTTATATTTTCAATATAATTTTTGGCGGTGTTTTTGTTTGGCTTACATTTAACATATTTATTTATATTTATATGGCCTAAGGTTTTTTTTTCGCGAGATTTTTAATATACATGTAACAGAAATATTATATAGATATAAAAAATTATAACGACAAAGTGTTTATGATATATATTTTCCATAGGCCTCTATATTTATGAACCAATCAATCAATATAAATTAATCTTAAAATAGAAGTATATCTAAATTAGTCTAAATTTATAAAAATAATGCAATAATATTTTTTAATTCTAATTAGATTAAAACCATGACATTTATAACAAAATTGTGACGTAACAAAGCGTTACGTCTCTGTGACCTCCAGGTTACGTAACCAGCTGTTACTTGGTAATAACGTTTTTGTTACGTTTAAAGCATTAAATCATCATTTTATATAAATTTGATTAAATCATATTAATTTTTAGATTTGTAAGTCTTTTTTTTATCATATCATAAACAGTTTGTCGTTTTTTGTCAAATTTATAACTTATATTAGCACGAATTTGCACCATCAATTATTTTTCTATAATTAATTAAATCTAATCAATATATATATATATATATATATATATATATATATATATTATTCTAAAGAGATAGTTGAGTATTTTTTAGACTGTACAAAAGAAATGCATTTACATTGATCTACACTTTAGAACAATTTCTAATCGAAAACATATACATCTTGACTTTAGTAAAATTTAAATTAGTATAAAATATTTATAATTAATTTATAATATTGACTAGACCTTAGTAATACAGTTGTATCAAATAAATATTTTGAGCCAAAATAATTTCTTATACAAATTTATTAAAACAATTTTCAAGATGTATATTTTTCCTACTATATATATGTTAATATATAGATTAGATATTCTTATGAGTATTTATAATATCACATATAAAAAATAGTCACTCGGCTTACCATAATATAATTAAAGGGTTTAGAAAGATGCTGAAGAATTGATTAGACATGACAGGTGATTTTAAATAATTTTAATAAATTTTCCTAAACTCACCCAAACACAAGAAACTTCTATCCAAAAATCTCCCTGACCAAAAAATCTCCTGGCAAAGAAATGTCCTGGCAAAGAAATGCCCTGGCAAAGAAATCTCCTGGCAAAGAAATGTCCTGGCAAAGAAATCTCCTGGTAAAGAAATCTCCTGGTAAAGAAATCTCCTTGTAAAGAAATCTCCTTGTAAAGAAATCTCCTTGTAAAGAAATCTCCTGGCAAAGAAATCTCCTGGCAAAGAAATCTCCTGGCAAAGAAATCTCCTGGCAAAGAAATCTCCTGGCAAAGAAATCTCCTGGCAAAGAAATCTCCTGGCAAAGAAATCTCCTGGCAAAGAAATCTTTTGACCAAGAAATCTTATGACCAAGAAATCTCCTGACCAAGAAATCTCCTGACCAAGAAATCTTTTGACCAAGAAATCTCCTGACCAAGAAATCTCCTGACCAAGAAATCTCCTGACCAAGAAATGTCCTGACCAAGAAATCTCCTGTCCAAGAAATGTCCTGACAAAGAAATCTGTCGACCAGGAAATCTATCGACCAGGAAATCTGTCGACCAGGAAATCTGTCGACCAGGAAATCTGTCGACCAGGAAATCTGTCGACCAGGAAATCTGTCGACCAGGAAATCTGTCGACCAGGAAATCTGTCGACCAGGAAATCTGTCGACCAGGAAATCTGTCGACCAGGAAATCTGTCGACCAGGAAGTCGAATGAGCAAGAAATCTCATGGGCAAGAAATCTTATGAGCAAGAAATCTCCTGACCAAGAAATCTCCTGACCAAGAAATCTCCTGACCAAGAAATCTCCTGACCAAGAAATCTCCTGACCAAGAAATCTCCTGACCAAGAAATCTCCTGACCAAGAAATCTCCTGACCAAGAAATCTCCTGACCAAGAAATCTCCTGACCAAGTAATCTCCTGACCAAGTAATCTCCTGACCAAGAAATCTCCTCACCAAGAAATCTCCTGACCAAGAAATCTCCTGACCAAGAAATCTCCTGACCAAGAAATCTCCTGACCAAGAAATCTCCTGACCAAGAAATCTCCTGACCAAGAAATCTCAGGACCAAGAAATCTCAGGACCAAGAAATCTCAGGACCAAGAAATCTCAGGACCAAGAAATCTCAGGACCAAGAAATCTCAGGACCAAGAAATCTCTCGAAGAAGAAATCTCATGAGCAAGATATCTCCTGACCAAAAAATCTCTTTAGCAAGAGTACAAATGCACAAGAAATCTCGTGCTCAAAATACCTCGTGCCCAAGGAATTTTATGTCCAAAGAATGTCATGTCCAAAGAATGTCATGTCCAAAGAATGTCATGCCCAAAGAATGTCATGCCCAAAGAATGTCATGCCCAAAGAATGTCATGCCCAAAGAATGTCATGCCCAAAGAATGTCATGCCCAAAGAATGTCATGTCCAAAGAATGTCATGCCCAAAGAATGTCATGCCCAAAGAATGTCATGCCCAAAGAATGTCATGCCCAAAGAATGTCATGTCCAAAGAATGTCATGCCCAAATAATGTCA